CTATCTCTATTCCTTGGCTTGTTGTTTTCTTATTCATTCTGAAAACCGCCTTTGTCAAATTCGACTCTAACTTTTTTTTTTAGAGGATACGAGGTACTTCGTTATTAGTGAGGTATGTTAGTAACATTTAATTCGTTTACAAACTCTAGTTTTGGGGAGAGGAGGTAAAGCGAGTTAAAATGGGCAGAGAGAAGTTATGGAAAATCCTCTGTAAGCCTGTGGAAAATCTGAGAATTTTGGTTTTGTTTCCTTCTTTTAATGCTTATGAAACGGACCTTGCGAAAAGCTTGTTCCTTCGTTACACGTTCGTGACGAGATGATGAAAAGATCTTCCTGTTTCATTACCGAGTACAACATTTATCTAGTTGAAGAGAGGACTTGATCCCCTCTTGCCATATTTGTTATAGTATAATAGCATGTGGAAAAGTTTCTAAAAAGTTAGATTGTTTCTTTTGATGCCTATAAATGATAATGCTTACCTCCCTTTCTTCTGCTTCAATGATGTAATTTTCCTCGTAAAAACCAAAAGCTTTCAAACCATCATTCAAGGATTTTAGAAACTATTTATTTCCACTCGTTTGATGTGCTTATGTTGATTCTCTATATTTAGCTGTTTTGTAGGTGGATTTACGAAGATACAGGACCTTAAACACACTAAAAATCGCGAAGTTCAGGCGGATGCTTTTATCTGTAATTTTTGTTTAGCTGCTCTAAAAACGTCGTTTTCCTTTCAGCTATTATCTGTCAATCATTCGCAAAAACTAAATTGGAGTTCTAAAAGTGATAAGTTTAGTCTGCATTGCATTCTTCCTCAGCATGCTGCTTTCTTTTTTTTATTTGAAAACCGCCCTTTCCGCATTTGACTCAAACTCCATTCGTTAAAGGCTAGAAACACTTTCGTTATCAGTGAGGTAAGTTCAAAATATTCTTAAGATTGGTTTGCAAATTCTACCTTCGGTGAGATGAGCAAAACTGAATCAACATGGACGGAAATATGTCATTGATAATCTTAACCATCGTAAGGCGACGAAAGAGATATCTTTCTCAGGCTTGTTGTTTATGATATTGACAACGGAAGAAATTTATCCGAAGCGAGAAAAGGCTATGACTAAACTTCTGGGTGTGGAAAATAAAACATAAGAGATGTTTTTGCTTTTAAAAATGTTAGTTACATATCACCGTACCTACAGTTAATTTGTTTTTTAAATTTTCAAGGCGGTAGCAAAAATAACTGTATTTCTAATAGCGGCACCGAGAAGAGGAGCAGGTCTTTCCACTGTATTTCCGGAAGATTTCTTAAAAATTTGTTTATTGCCATCTGTTTTTGGAGGTTATAAGTTTTCTTCTGAGAAAGCAATTGAGATCACTGGTGGCAAAGCTTTTCGCCTATTCAGTGGACATCGAAAGAGATTTATATTATTAAATTTGTCTTTATCGAAAGAAAAAAACAGGAAGAGGCTGATCATAATTAAATTTCCTGATATGAATCTCGCATAAAGAAACACGAGGATCACTTTAAGTAAAGTTTTAACATGTTAAAAAACGTAAAAAGCAATATTTGATATATTTCTTTATTGAGAATATTGAATTCATATTTCATTTCACCTCTAATTGAACTGTTTCCTGTTATTTTCGTAGCAGCTAACAGAGCTCAGAGAAAATGCAACCTCTCTACTCAGCTTGGCAGTGTATTCCATGGCTTGTGGTCCTCATCATCGAATGTCTGGCCATAGTCATCCTTAATATCATCACCATTGTTGTTTTTATGAAGAAGAAGCGTCAGCTACAGCGGCGGAGTACATATTTGATCATCCACCTGGCGATGGTCGATCTCCTGGTGGGTGTAGTCTCTGGGCCGCTGCAAATTGAAAGAAGAATGTCGGGGCTCTGTCCTCTATGGAATTACAGACGAAAGAATATTTGGTCTCATTATTTATCTTATGCATTTTTACATTTATTCTCGTTCACTTCCCTAACAAATCTTATCGCTATTTCCTTAGAACGGCTACACGCAACATTTTTTCCATTCAGGCATCGCGTTATGAGGGAATGGGTTTATAGAGCCATAATTATTGTCATTTGGTTAATACCTATTGTTAGAGAGGCCGCTCAAATTTTCTTAAAGGGAATTGCTGATCGAGCTGTAATTAACACTTCCTTGTATATCCTATTTGCTGCAGTTTCTCTATTTGTTATCTGTGTATCTTACATCCTCATTACTATTAAGGTACGATGTAGTCGTCATCCTCAATTTCATTCTAGGTCCAAAAGAGAAAGAAAACTGACGGGTACTGCGCTTATCGTCTCACTTGTATCGATACTTTGTTGTCTACCAGCGAGTATATATGTAGCATGTCTTCGCGTTTCCTTCACTTGTTTCAGAAATTTTCATATTGAGATCGCTGTGTTAGTTCTAGTTTTAGCTAACTCACTTATAAATCCTATAATTTACGCTATTCGGATGCCAGGATTCAGAGAAGGTTTATCACAGCTATTTTACAGGGTCCCAGACCTTTCTCGTGTCGCCCCGGCAAACCTGCCACTTCGAAACCTTAATAGGGCGTCGATTGATGGTAGGAAAACTATACATAAAAGTTTTCTTTTAACAGGGTCCCAGACCTTTCTCGTAACGCCGCAGCAAACCTGGCACTTCGTAACCTTAGGAGAGCGTAGATAAATGGTAGGAAAACTATTGATGAAGTTTGTTGCTAAATAACTTTAACTTCTCAGTCGAGCAACATACATTTCCACCCTATTTTTTGGTTCCCATTGAAATCTTAACATGAGTAAGAAAAACTACGCAAGTAATATACGAACAAATGATTGATACAGTATAGTTTTGCCTTTTAATAAAAACAGTATACTCAACTTATTCGACGTTGTGATCATTTGCATGACAGCTTGACCTGAACCAAAATATGTGCAACTTTTAACAAGCCCCAGATGCATAACTTAAAGGGACTCTACAACCCCACTCCCAACCCCTCCCCGACCCCCATATGTTAACGAGGCTGCGTGAAATTAAAAAAGTCTTCTACTGCCTAATTGAAAAAAATTTTACGCAAAGCAAAGCGATGCAAAAATGTGCACACTCGTAGTATCAATACGACCACCACATCCCTGAACCGAGTGGCGTATTTTTCGTATGTAACACGTGGTGTGGTGATATTGAGCCAGAAAACTTGGCCATTGCAACCACATATAAATTGGGAGTCCTATGTTTCAAAAAGGCTGATTAGTTTAAATAAGGAATTGTTGTCGGAGCTTTCTCGAATTATGACGGCTAAAACACTAAAAAATCCGTATCGCTGACAGACAATGAGGTTCAAACTTTGCTAGAAGAGGAAGAAAACCAATATACTAAAAGAAAAACCGAAAGTTGCGTGTTCAGTGGCTTTGGTGTTAGCATTTCTCTCGGCTGAGAGTGAAAATCGACAACTGGAAGATTTGCCACTGGCCGATTTTGGCC